AATTAAAGTTGGGTTCAAACCTAACTTTGGTAACTTAATGGTTTTGTAGCTTTGGGAAAATGGCTTAACCTCTGAGCTTCAATTTGCTTATCTTAAAAACAAAGAGAACACAGCATTATGTGATGGTATCCCATGACTGTAAAATAATAAGAGTACTTGACCTATAGCAAGTGCTCACAGAATTATGATTATGAATACTATCATTGTCATCACTTAAATTTTTATTTTTCCTTCAGCATTGTAATGCTAAAAACAAAACAAAACAAAACAAACCCTTCACCATAAGTCCTGTCCCTTCTGTGGGGTTTTGTGGTGTGCTACACAGAGTGCTAAACATGGTCCCTAACAGAGGAACAATAGGAATATGCCAGGGACTCTTTTGCTTCTCCTGAAAAACACAAAAGTATCCTTTTGTCCTTCCTCTCCAAGCAAGACAGATTCCTGTACCATTAGAGTCAACTCTCCCAAAATAGTACACTGGGAATCTTTGCTTCGAGCAAGCAGATCACTCATTAAAATTTGTATTTCTACCTGAAAATTCATTTTTTTCTTCAAATGGCTTTTTTCTCCCCTCAAGAATCTTTCACTGAGAATGAATTCCCATTTCTAACACTGAGTTCCTTATGAACCGGTAGTTGTTTCAAGAGTCAGGGAGCTTTCTGTCCACCCTAACAATGGAAAGTTAAATGATTAATCAGCATCTGTCTAGCTATGTGACAACCGTCCTGGCCATGGACCCAGCTTTCTGTCCAAGGCTCAAGGACAGGTGGACTGAGCTTCCTGACTTTCCTTCAGCTTGATTTGCCGCACTTCTAGTAAGAACCACTTAGCAGCTTACAAGCTTACAGCTTTCCTGGCTTCCCTTGCCTGCCTTGTAATTTGGCAATAGCCCTGGGCTCTGGTGACCATGTTCCTCTCTTCTAAATCCACAGTCCTTTCCCATTTCCACAGCCTTAGGAGGCTGATTCATTCATTTGTTCCACAAATATTTACTGAATACTCTGTGCCAAGCACTGTTTAAGATGGTTAAAAAAAAAAAAAAAGAGTCCCCAGCTTTATGGATCTTGCATTGTTATAGGGGAGAGATACATGCAACGGTAACTGAAACAATTTACAATGTCTGCTTCTATCAGTCATTTAAACTTGGAGTAAGGTATAAACCTGAGAGCGGTTTGATGGGCAGGGTGAACTGAGCAGAGAGGAAGAATAAGGAAGGGACATGAGATTTTGCGAGACTGGCTTCCTGCGCTTCATTTTATTTATTTATTTATTTTTGCTTTTAGTATAGAAACGGGTGCGCAGCTTTCTTTCTCTCAGTGAAGTAAAAGGGCCCCCGTAAGGAAACTTTATTCTTTACCTTGTGCAAACAGGAGCAGGGGTCCCCTGAATGCATGCATGTCAACCTCAGTGACAGTGGGGGAATGTGTAATAAAGCTTCAGGAAATGAGTTCTTTAACAAAAAACGAATGGAAAATGGGTGGCTTCAGCTCAGTGCCCTCAGGGGCAGTGGCCTTAATATTTTAGATCACGGGGAAGAAGAGAGCATATCTGACACACTGTAGGCAGTATCTGGCAGCAAAAAGCCTGAGTTTCAATTAAACTATTTAATTCTGTAAGACCCACCAAAATAGATGGAGAGCCAGAGTAAAAGAGATAAAATTTTTTTTCATGTTTTAGTATGATTTTGTGTCAGTCTTATTTGGTACTATTTCTACATCTCAGTACAGATGTCCTTTTGGGAAAATAATATCAATCTAATTCCCCCCTCCCCAAAATTTACATTTTTTAAATAAAAAATAGCTTAAAAATAAAAGAAGTACAGTGGTAGTTACTTTTGAAGGTTCTATCCAGGCAAGAGAGTGCAGGGGAAGTTCTGGGGTAATGGGTGTATTTTAAATCTGCATCTGGGTGCTTGTTAGATAGGTGGATAAAGATGTAATATGTCATTATGCTGTAACATAAGATTGGTATGTTTTTACTGTGTTTAATGTATACTCCAATGAAAAAGGAAAAAAGTAAGTAGAGGGGGAGTCTGAACTTGAGGCCTGCAGATATGTGGTAAACAAGACCTCATAAATTATGGGCTCTGTGACCCATGAAGGGATTGATTAGGTCTCTACAATCTCTTCCCATTTGGTCAGCTAATGACCTGATTCAGCAAACTACGAGCCGTTAACTTTTTCTCTTTGTATTGGTGTCCATTGGGTTCCAATACAAAACCTATCAAGAAAGGAAATTAGAAAAACAAATAAGGAAGAAGGAAAATATTGGCTGAGTTCTCAGCTGAGACAGAATTCAGATAGTTTCATGCTTGTTGGGAATTTCTCTCAGTGGAGTTTTCCATACTTTTCATAGTTTTGACCCAAGAATTCTGGGTCCCTGTAGGTTTGCGAGATCTTCCACAAAGGCAGAAATAATGGTATGTGAGGCCTCGTCTCCCTAAATCAATGTGAAAAGTTCACTTCACAAAAAAATAATATTCAGCAAGCCTATGATTAAGAATATTAAATTTGGGTTGTTTCCAATAGCAAATGGAATACCGTTGAATTACGTGTTGCATGTTTTTTTTTTTTTACATTTTATTTATTTATTTGAGAGAAGAGAGAGACAGTGAGAGAGAGCATGAGCGAGGAGAAGGTCAGAGGGAGAAGCAGACTCCCCGTGGAGCTGGGAGCCCGATGCGGGACTCGATCCCAGGACTCCAGGATCATGACCCGAGCTGAAGGCAGTCGCCCAACCAACTGAGCCACCCAGGCGCCCACGTGTTGCATGTTTTTTAAAGCTGTATTCATATTCATTTCCACTATTACTATTTTCTAACTTCTCAAAAGTATGATGATGAAATTTCCAGTTTCTGGTTTTGATTCACTTAAATTATGCACATGCCCCCGATTGTTTTTGTCTGATGAACATATTTTTTATTTGATGAAAATATTTCCTTTTCAAAAAAATAGAATAAATAGATTCTCATTGTTTTAATAACAAAACCCTATCCATAGATCCTACTGAGCTCTCTTTCCCCTTAATAAAGTGCCAGGTCTTAAAAAGTTTTTTTTTCCCTTTTTTTAAATTATTATGTTAGCGATTACTAGAAAGTTTCATTTTGATTCTTTTACTTTTACCTTAAAGAGTTCATGCCATTAATCTCAACAATATTGTGTTTTCTAAAAAAAAAAAATAATAAAGTCTTTGTGATAGGAAAAAATCTAAATATCAATGTCTCCATTTATATCTATCTCTAAATGAACTCCATGACTGACAAAAATTATATTTCCTGTCTAAAATGTTATTTTAAAGTCAGTTGTTTAGAACTCAAAGCTATTTTCTTTCCTTTAGAAGCATGGTATTTGTGTTCTCAGAACAGCCCATAGAAGCTAGGTAGTTTGTTTATCAAAGAAGGTGAAATACTGTATGTTTCTGGCACAATTTTAATAATAATAAAAAAGGATTACTGAATAAGACGGAATTTCATAATTTTACCTTTCAGCTATTGTTTGAAGATAGGCATGTTTAATTATGTGAAGATGGACACCTTCAGATAAATTATACTTGTCAACAGAGATAATGCCAGATAAGGAGTAAAAACAAAATATGAATCATCCCACCAAACTGAAGTACTTACTTTTAACAGAGTGTTGTTTATTTCCAAGACTGAAAGCTTGTTTTTACATAATTGGGATTACAATGCACTGCTTTGTATCTTGCTTTTCCCAATCATTCTTGTATTTTAACAAAATTTTGAAGACTGTCAGCATAGATTCTTCACCTAATCTCACTTCAACTCCCAAGCATTTTTTCCTTTAACATAAGTGTGCCACTACTTCTTGTTTTGCCTTGGCTTGCGTGGAATGTATGAAATGAAGCTGAGAAAGGAAAAGACAAGGGAACCGGGAGAGGAGAGCAAGAAAGAGCATGACAGTAAGGAGAATTTAGGTACCTGTTCAAGCATCAGAGGGTTCTATACATATAAAAGATGTCTGAGAGAAAATGAACAAAATTTGGAGCAGTGAACTTCAGAGTAACAGGGATGCTGATGTTGGAGCTAAATGGGAATAGCATCATTTTATCCTATCCCATCCTTTGAAAAGGAGATGAATGTTTATTGAGTTTAAGGTCTTTCTTAGGGGACAGAGAGTGTTTGAGGCGATACTGGGAAGGGAACCTAGATCCGGTGATTCTCACTCTCCTTCCTTACATTTCTGAGGTCTAGAAAAATTGAATAGGAAGAGGTGTGCATCATCTCCTTGAGGAATAAACAAGGAAATGGTGGGAAAGAGATAGCAGCTCAGTCAGTATCCTGATTCAAGGCATGGTCAGAGCTGGCTGGAGCTCTGAAAAGTTAAGGCAAAAGGAAAGGAAGAACATAGCAGGCTTTCTTTGGTGCGGAGAGGTGAAGACTATGTATAAGCTACCGTCCTCAGATGTCTTTTTCAACTCAAGCATTACTTGCTCCAGATTTGTCAAAATTCTAGAATAAGTGCTATAATATATTGTGAACCTGTCCATGTGGATTAGCAAATGAAGAGTTAAGCATTTGCCCATTTGATGGAAGGAGAACCAATGCCCAACACAACCAAATTATGTTTATCACATCATTTACTGTTCTTGAAGCAAAGTCCACCTCTCCCAAAGTATAATTCTAAAATAGTACAAACTTTACGTGTTTTGGACATCAGTGTGGGCAAGAGCCCATTGTTGTCATTTGATACTATTTCTCAGCGCTCTTGTTGATTCTAGACTAAACTTGAGATCACTGAGGTGGGAATGAGAGACTGGAAGTTGGGAAATAGAGAGTAAGGGGTTATAACAAAATGCTATATTCTTAAAATTTACCAATGACTACTTGTTCACTTGAAAAATAGAGAGCATTACACTGCATGGAGCTTAGATTTCATTATTTGAATCAGTGTCTCTTTGCTTAATGCCAAATGTATTGTTGATTTGTTTCTCAAGAATCAGACCTTGCAGATCTAAAACTTGTTTTTAATTTTTTATCTAAGACTCACCTTGACCTTATCCTGTCCCATGGACTTGAAGAATTTTCCAATGGATGTCCAGACTTGTACAATGCAGCTGGAGAGCTGTAAGTCCCCACTGTTGAAATGACTGCCTGCTTGTTTTAACTGATGACTTGGTTCTTTAAGCTTGTGATTAAGAAGAAAGGACTCATAAGACTCATTCTCTACCTATTACCAACTCCCAAGGCCCTAATGGAAGGACAAGCAAGTGTGCATGTTTCATACACAGAAAATCTTTCAAGTAAAATGCCAAATACCTCATCCTTCCTCACAAAAACAAACCTGATTTAGTAGCTTTTATTTGAAATGAAAACATCTCTTGGGAAAATTAAAATTACTTGTCATTCAATCTCTAAAATGAATCACTCTCTCATCAGAAAACTGTACTTGTTTCTATCTTATGTTCATATAGACCATTACCCCAAAGGAATTTTGGCAGGAAGGGATAATTGATTTGAGAACAAGATACAGGGACCTTAGCCTGAGGAGGACGTAAGAACAGGGAGGCAAGAGATGATATGGAAGAATAGGCATTTCTCTTTGATGGGTAGGGGATCCACAAAGGCATGGGGAAGGAAATAGAGAAATGCTGTCTACTTTGTCCCCTTTATGTCCTAGCCCTGATGTCACTGAAATCTTTGACACGTGCCATACGCTGCTGATGCCTCCGAGGTAATAGGATATTTAGGCAAGAGACATGAAAATTTTTTTGGCTTGTTCTGTCACTTTCTCTGTTTGTAAAGTGCAGAGAATAATAAGCAGTACTGACCTACAGGGATGTTAGGAGATTTAATGAGGCAAGAGCAAGCAAATACTTTTAACTTCTTGGTTTAGATGAATAATGAAGATAAAAAGACACATCAACTATTATTAAAAAAGAGGCAGTTACAGGGTTTTCTTGTGATCACTTAAAATCACTGTAGATTTCCCTTGAAACTCCCTACAGAAATAGAGAAAATAATGAAATGTCTTTGTTTTAAGAAGTTGTCAGGGACAAAATGAGAATTCCTGATTTACAATAGGTTTTATGTATTTTTTTTTTTTCCTATTGCCTCTTCTCTTGAGAAGAAAATTGAGAAAAACATTTTCTTATATAATGGTTCCTTCTTTGTGTCTCCTCTACTGGTCCAAACTCTCTCTTGCCTCAACCCAACACTTATTTTCTCTGTAAAACAGCAAGCATAGCTGTCATCTGAGGCTCCTCCAAGATTTAAAAAACTCCAATTAGTAAATACGCTTGGTCCTTGCAGGCCCTAGAAGTAATGAAACCACAAAGTGTTCACCACTAACTCCGAATGGGAAGGATGGGAATTATTCCTTCCTTTTTTACCCTCATATTACTTACTTCCTCCTTCCCCAACTGTCTTCCCCTCATCTGTCTGTCCCAGTCTGGGGCTTCAGGATGGCTGGCAACAACTATTATTGTGGGTTGATTGGATATGAATATGGGATTACACGAATATGGGGATATAATCTTCTCACATTGGTTGGAGACACCCAACAAGTACTCATATAGTGTTGCAAGAGACAGGGTTGGCCATTCTCTTTGTGGAACATCAGTGTTTGTATAGGCTCCTCTTCATAATCCCTTGCTTTCCATATTTTATTTTTGGCTTTGAATAGAAAAGGTGGCTCAAAGAAAGAAAGAGGAAAGTAGATTCCAATTAACTGTCATTCACTTCTGGGTAGCTTTGGTGAGTCACTATCTTACAGTAAACAAGAATCTATAAACTCAATAAATATGCTCAAGTTATTGGCTCACCAAGACCTCACATAATATCCCTTGTCCTCCTCACTTTCATGTTAGAGTTCAAATACCACAAAGAGGGAAGGGAGAGAAATGATACCTGAAGGAATAGCAGCCTTCGTCCTGGGGTGCAAAAAGATCCAAAAACACTTAGCACATAATGACCTAGTTAGTGGGAACTTGGAAACCAAGAGCTAACTCTGGTTTACTAAACTGATAACATTCTTGCTTTGTATGGTTCAGGAGTCATATAACAATATGACCTTACATGATGGAGAATCTGTTTTACTTCATATTAGTTATTGTGATGAGTGGGCCCAGTTAGCAAGATGCTAGCACAAATGAACATTCCCGATTTGCATTATTCCACGACTTCCTTTAAGGTTGTCTGCCTATGCCTCCCCACTTGGCAAAATAACAGAGGATTGACCATAAGAACTTTAACCTAAGCTTTCTTTCTTAAAATTTAAATTTAATTAGCCAACAGATTGGCTAATTAATTGGCTAACAATAATACAGCATTACTTTTTGATGTAGTGTTCAATGATTGATTGGTTGTGTATAATACCCAGTGCTTATCACATCATGTACCCTCCTTAATGTCCATCACCCAATCACCCCATCCCCCCAACCATCTCCCCTCCAGCAACCTTCAGTTTGTTTCCCAGACACAGAGTCTCTCAGGTTTGTCTCCCTCTCTGATCTCTTCCCTTTCAGTTTTCCCTTCCTTTCCCTATGATCCTAACATAAGCTTTCTGAAAACGAATCTAAAATACCCTAGAAGAGGGGCCAAGTTTGCAATGGAAGTATTTTAGGCAGACTGTGATGAATTCATTCTCATTTAATAAAAAGGAAGAAGAATTCTTTTCATTTGAAATACAAACACTAGTGCCATGATTGGATTATCTTACTGGATTGTCACAGACACAGCTCTTTCAAGTAAAGACAACCTTCGAAGGATTTTTATATCCATTTACTTGTTTGTTCTTCAGAAAGATTTAGTAAATCAAGAGGGCAGAAGAAAATGGACTTTATAGATTCCATTCTCCCATTACACAGAAAAAATCATTCAGAAATAGCTTTGTCTCTTCAATTTCTTTGGCTTCAATGACATGTAGTTGACATGATGATTGTAGCTCCCTTACTAAAAATGATTTTGAATTGATTGAGCATGTGTCTGCTTTAGATGGTTTCCTTGTTTGTTCTTTACATGGCTAGACTTTCAAGCTTTCTTGGAAAGATGCATTTAATTTTTCGCTATGATTTGTTTACTCCAGTTGGGTACACGATGAATGACCTGATATTTGAGTGGTTAAGCGATGGTCCAGTTCAAGTTGCTGAAGGACTGACCCTGCCTCAGTTTATTTTGAAAGAAGAGAAGGAACTTGGCTATTGCACGAAGCACTATAACACTGGTAAGTTTACTTTCAGCTGCTAAGCCCAAGTGGGCTCTATTCTGCAACATGGCCTACATATCACACCCCCTTAATTGCTATATCTTTACCAAGAAAATGGAGCTACAAGACACAGACCTTGGCTCAAAACCCCCTTTACAGATAAGATGCTTGGGCCCTCTGGCATAAATCAGTGAGCCCAATAGATAATTTTTCCAAAATGGAGATAGAAGGAAAAAGATTTGGGATTCTTCTGCTGTTCCCTTGCTAACCATGTGCTGTCAAATGAGTCTGAGGAAATGTGTACAAGACTTTGTATATAGTGCAGGAAACGTATAAATTCTGGCCCATTCTTGACATCCGCTCTTGCCATTGGATCCTCAGATCAGTTTGTATTCTCTGACTTAGTGGAAGAGAGGAATAACCACATAGGTCTTTGTAAACCCAGAAATACAGTTACTATGCTCTCCACTCCTTGATGGTGATGGTGATAAGAATTTGGATGAAAACCAGCTGATGGGAATTCTGCTGGCTCTAATGCCATGCACTGTCACTGGTGCTGATAGACACATGGGTCAGAGGGAGAATATGAGTTGGTAGTAACAAGTGGGCATATGTTGTTACCTGGAAAATCATGCCTGTCCAGTAAAGTTGATGGCTTTTCCTATGAATGTCCCGGTGTTTGATACCACATAAGCTGATCATGGAGAGGCAAGCTAGACAGGATGGTTTATTCAGTGACTGCTCCAGGTCACTTGCTAAATAGAATGTTCATGAATACTTATTCCAATAGTCAATAGTGCTTCTTATGAAGTGGCCAAAACCTGATTCCAAGGTGTTTTTCCTGACCAAGAGGAATCCAACCTTATCTCTCATAATTTGTGTGGACTAAGCCAAATTACCTTCCAGGGTTCTGTCTCCAAACCAATTAAAGAGGAAGAAAAATGGCAAGGGGCAGGAACATCTGTCTCTTTAAAGTATGTTAAAAGTTTTAATATCTTTGTATGTATTATTTTTTATAAATACTGTAACACTGTAAATAGATTTTAGGAATATTCTAAATGTCCTCAAGCAATTACCCAGAAAGCTAGGAAATTGCTACAATGACTAGATTATATGCAGGGCATACACAAATGTATATTTTTCTCTTATTATGAATAGCACAAAGATAGACAATTTTCCAAATACTTTGAGAGCCCCATGTGAACTTTACTATTTTCAACTGTTACATATTATGCATTATATATTATATGCTATACATATATACCACAGGTTATGTATTATATGTTATATATTACATATTATAACCTCACAAAATGTGACTATTTCTACTGGTAAGTTTCTGACAGGCTTGCAAATTCTGAAGCTTTGTCTAAATAATCAAGCTACAAGCACAGATTCAGAAAAATGGTTTGGTCTAGTGACTCTTTTTTTTTTTTAAAGTAGGTTCATGCAGGGTTTGAATTCACAACCCTGAGATCAAGACCTGAGCTGAGATTAAGAGTCAGATGCTCAACCTACTGAGCCACCCAGGCGCCCTTAGTCCTGTGACTCTTTAGATCACTCATTCTCACAACTGTTAATTGAATTACTGGTAGAGTTGAAAAAGAGTTGAATTGGTTATGTAGGGTGAGCATTTTGTGCCATCTTCCAAATCCACCTGTAATACCCTTAAAAACTAAACAATGAAAGGCAAGAATGGGAAAGATAAATTTGAATTGGATTTTATATCATTATTTCCTGCTTTCAGGAAAGTTTACCTGCATCGAGGTTAAGTTTCACCTGGAACGCCAGATGGGATACTATTTGATCCAGATGTATATCCCCAGTCTGTTGATAGTCATTTTGTCCTGGGTCTCCTTTTGGATAAACATGGATGCAGCCCCTGCTAGGGTTGCACTGGGCATCACCACCGTCTTAACAATGACCACCCAGAGTTCGGGTTCCAGGGCATCTCTGCCAAAGGTAAGAAGTCTCCTTACTTGACAACAAGTGATGGGGATCGAGGGGCGGGCGCGGATTGTCAAAGGTCTTGTGACCTGGAGAATGCTGTGAAGACAGAAATGTTTGGCATCCTGTGGTACTGTTGGAGGTGCAATGTAAGAAGAGAATTAAGAGCTGAGTTTGAGAGAATTAGAGCTCTGAGGACATGGGAGATTCCTAATCAGATCAATTAGGGGAGAGGAGAATCAGGGTTGAGAGAGGAGAGGAAGGAGTGGAGGCAGAAACATGGCTCAGGAATTATGTCTAAGAAGTCCTTGACTGCTTTTGACCTCATGCTGTTCATGAGCCACGAAGCTTGTAGGAATTAGAATAAGATTGATGCAACTTATGCTATATTGTCAAGTGTTTATTGGTGAGCCTATTGTGATTCATACACTTAGTGAAGTCATTTACAGTAAAAAAAAAAGTTTGAATTAAGCTCCTGGAAATTTATACAGAAACGCTATGTCATTGAGTATATACGAGATATAACTATAAAAATTAGAGTGCAGCAAAGCAGATACATGAATCTTTGCCATTCCTTAATTTACCTTAATCGCTGACACACTATTATTTTCAAGTGACATGGTTACCTAGAGAAAGAACAGTGGAGTCTTCCAAGATGGTGAAAATTCCGACAACCATGGCAGGTGGATAAAGGAGCGTGAGATGGATAATAGGTACACATAGACATCTTGTAGCACTTCAAATAGTAATCCATAATGGCTGTATAATTTATTTTTATGTGAGGGCAGGTCCTCTATAGTTGTAAGTATTGCCTAAACAAACAATGATAATTGTCCTGTTCATGAAATGTCCCAGCACCCCGAGAGCGTGCCTATGGGTATTTCCTTTTCACTGGAAAAGTACATTGAGTCGCTGGCTTCAATTTTCCAGGAATGTGAGTTCAATTTAGTATTCACTGTACACTGTCTCATACTGGTTGAGCAGTCTCTCCAAAACCTAGTTCCAGCAAATAATTGAGGTATAATCCCCTATCTTTGCTGGCTTGAGCTTATGTACAGTTGTGCTGCATTTGACATGAGATATGTTAGATCATGTTCCACATTATCTGCTGTGCTGAGAGATAAGATGACATGTGGAGGAGGTCTGTGGCTGTTCTGGAGATGGACTGAATGCTGGGGGAACTATCATACAAACTTTCCAACTTCTATGCCTCCAAAGATAAATATTAGATTTGTATGCTAATAGAGAAAGGGATAAATCTATTTCTGATATTTTTTAATTTTCAAATAACATACTGTACAAAATACTTGTGTTGCATTTCTATTGAAATATAGATAGCAGAAATACTAACAGCTTTCTTTTCAGCTACATAATCAAAAATCAATTTTACCTAATAAAAATTCTAATCCACTGTGTGCCTCAACCGAAACAGGTTCATTTACTTATGTCTTGTTAGTCATTAGTTCTAGCCATCACTGCATGCTATGCCATTAAACCTCAGGATGCACAAAACATGTAGTTTACAATTTAATAGATAGCTAAAGTATTGGTTACAAGTTGTAAGCAGATAATGTCAAAAAGGAAGACATTTATAGCCTCCAAATTCCCATTGCTATTTTAAAAAGTAGTCATTTCATCTCAAAATGGGAGCTTCTGTTTTTACAAATTTGTTATTCATTCTTATTAGCTATTATGATTCTACATCAATGGTCAAAACTATTGTTGAATCAATGGTCACTGATCAGTGATCTTTGTGTGTAGAGGCAATCAGGAACTCCAATAAACTAAGAGATAAGTATAATCAAAGTCATTTTATACTTGGCTCTGAACTCATAGTGGTTATCCTTTTGCCATCAGCAGGTTTATCATCCTACGTATGTTTTTCTTAGGCTATTATTAAACATGGTTGGCTCTCAACTGACTGTGGGGAGATGTGACTCATAGGGATAACAGTGAGAAAGGAAAATGGGATAAAAAGTGAGTCATGGAAAATAAAAAATTGACCATACGTTTACACACACACATACACACACACATACTCGTTTTAATTTATAAACACTGTAGTCCCCAAGTAGAAGCACCACTGTGCTGATTGTACAGTTGTCTCAGAGTCGGTAGCCCTTTACAGACTAGGCATGCACCTTGCACTTTAAAAGTAAGACATGCTTGTTAGAGAAAAAATAGAAGATATAGAAAATACCATTAACATTAACTATCCACTAAGTAACTGTTGTTAAGACTTTGGTATATTTTCTTCCAGCCTTTCTTTGATGCACATTTGGAGGCAAACCCACACACAAGCACACCCAGAAAATAGAATCAAAACTGTCTACAAAGACAGTTATATACTATCTTCCATTTCCATAGCATTAAAAATCTATCATGAACATAATTTTCAATGACATAATAGTCTATCTGGTATATTAATCACCATTTATCTTACTATCTTGGATATTTAGGATTTTATTGTTTGCTTTTCTAAGTGCGATCGTTATATATTTGTATATGAGAGCTTGTGTCTCATTGTGTTCTAGAAGACGTGTGTGTATGTATTTATTCATTTATGTATTTATTATATTATGTTATGTTAGTCACCATACAGTACATCATTAGTTTTTGATGTAGTGTTCCATGATTCATTGTTTGCATATAATACCCAGTGCTCCATGCAATCTGTGCCCCCCTTAATACCCATCACTGGGCTAACCCATTCCCCACCTCACTTCCCTCTAAAACCCTCAGTTTATTTCTCAGAGTCCATAGTCTCTCATGGTTCATCTTGCCCTGATATATTTTTTAAATCTTATTTTACAATTGGAAAAAAAGAAGAAATTGAGCAATGATTAGAGCAAATGAGGGACAATCTGTAGGGAGATGCCCAATATCTTCCCATTCAGGCAAAAATTTTGTCTTGTTCATCAGGTTAACTTCAGCATTTACTACGGTCTGTTACTTATGCTAGATGATCAATAAATCCTCATTGAATGGATAAAGAAGTTAATGAACAACCATGTTTCCCCATGGGAGACCATGTAGAAGATAGACTTAACACAGAATCTACAAATGTTTTACAGAAAATATTCGAGTTCTAATATATGGAAGAATCTCATAATAATATCACATACACTACAGAGGAATGGAATTTCTCTAAAGGACTATGTCTCTCTTTTCAGAAGTCCTCAAGTAGACTTTGGGAAGTTAAGAATATATCCACAAATAAGTATTCTGAAGTACAGGCAGGCCTCCCAGATCTAAATCTTAAAGACTTCTTTACACTCAACCTCTCCAAGCCTGTTTCCTCATTTCTAAAATGAGAATGACCTTATCTACTCCTTGTAAAAACTGAACTAGGATGAGATGAGGTATTACATATATAAATCATTTTGCCCAGTTTTAGTACATGGTAGCACTCAATTCATTCTGGTTATTTTTATTGTTATTTGTTCCCAGTCCATAATATAATAGAAAAGACTGCTCCATGGGATGAGAAGTAATATTAGAAGACTCATAAAGGGCCTTACGAGTAGAAGATACCATGTTCTTTGGATGGCCCATTATTTGTTTATAATCATAATGCAAATGAGGTGAGCTAAAGTTTGTTATACAAATGTGTGTGTGTATAAACCCACATATGTGTCTTTCATAGGTAGGCAATTTATTGAATGGGTTAAGCTCTAGAGCATGTGAATAAGCAATGGCTCTATTTTTCTCCAGTCACTTCCATTAAACATCCTCTGTTGCTTTTATTTTCCCTGTACCCGGAGGATACTTCAGAAAGATTCCATAGATTCTCAGTTACTATATGCCATGCCATTAGACTCAGAATGAACAAAGGTGTTTTACAATTTAATAGACCGCTAAAGTATTGGTGATAAGTACTTTAGCACAGTCCATTATCAGATTTTTTAAAAAATCAGATAGCTTGAAATAAAACTTTAGTCTAAAAACCAATTCAACGCTTTTTTTCCTTCCTTGCCCCCAGCTCAGGCCTAATCTTTGGCTTGAAGATGTCCAGAAAGGTGGACATTTGTCTGTTCTTACCCTTGCTTTTCACAGTTGTTACCCTTGCTTTTCCAATTCTCTTTCCCACTCCTGTTGCTTGCTTCTCTACTGTTAAGGGCTGAGAGTGAAAGAGTGGATGGAAGAAAGTTGTACAAGACTGACACTATTGTATTTGAACTCTTGCCTTCTCTAATGGGAAGCCTCCAAATACTGCATTCTTGATGGCTGAACTTGAGTTCCTTGGTAATTCCTGAGGATCCTGCACATGACACCATTCATGGATGAACAATGCAATCTCTGGCTGGTATCTTATTTCCTCTTATCTATCACCTCCTACCAGCATATCTCATACAACTTCTTACTCCCAGGCTCTCCTTATTCAAGTAGATAGCCCTCCTGGTTGACATGTTTTGAAAATGATTCACATCTATCTTCCACACCGTTTATTTGGCACACCAAGAATGTGTGTTCATTGCCTTGCTAAATAGTGGAAATGCAACGTAACTGTTAACATGTTTGCTTTCACCCTACCATCTTAGGTATTCTAGCTAGCTTACTCCCTTCAGAATTTATTCAGATGAGAAACAAGTACTGCTGTTCATTTTTTTCATACAAAACCCAAACTTCTGAGGATACATGACAAGTTCTCCTAATAACACCTTTATTCTCTGATCCAGGAGCAATATGTTGAAATTTCAGCAGCTCAACAGATACATGACATGTGCAGGAGATGCCAGTCTTTTCTCTTACCAGTGTGGGGGTAAACCTCTTCTCCCCATCTTTAGGAAAATAGGGGAAAGGCCACAGCACTGTCATTATCCATGAATCCCATTACTTCAAGTAATTCTTTTCAAATGTCTAGTTTTCTGTAATGGTACAGGGTATGGAGTGCAACTGTCTCTAGATTACATTTGCTTTGTTCTAGCAAGTCCTGCATCCTTCATACATACGTGTAGAGTCTCCCTTCAGAGTGAGGCTTAAGTTGACATTCTGAGAAAAGAATATCCCATTCC